AGCTCGTGCTTTTTATGGTCTTGTCACATTTTGTGGATTCTAGTCGAGAAATTATAAATTTGTGATTAAGTCCTTAAGGTAAAGATGGAAATTAACATGGGATTTTGAGTCGAGGGGTATTCGAGTTCATACATTTTGATGAAAAGATACACATCAAGCAAAGGAGGATAATATTAGTGGCTCGAGAGATCTGGTGAGAAAAGATCGTCAATGCCTGCATCTCTGGCCATATTGCAAGTCTTATGAGGAGTGAACCTTTTGTTGAAATGCTTCATCACGTTAGGGACGCTTGGGGCAATGTTGTTCGCTTCGAAGAAAGGCCCAAGATCATGGACTATTTCCTTAGCCAATGAATCACATAAAGAGTTAAGACAATCAAGCAATNAATACCAATTGAAGAGAATCAAGTGTTAGATTCCTATAAGGAAATTTTCCAGAATTTAGAAGGGCTACCACCAAAAAGGCATCATGATCACACCATTCATCTTTTGGAAGGATCTTCAATTCCCAACTTTAGACCTTACAAATATTCTCACCAACAGAAAAATGAAATAGAGAAATTGATTGCTGAAATGTCAAAAACTGCCATCATTCGTCCAAGCATGAGCCCATATTCAAGCCACATAATCTTAGTAGGGAAAAAGGATGGTGGGTGGAGATTTTGTGTGGACTATAAGGTCTTAAATAAGTTGACCATCCCCAATAAATTTCCAATTCCAATTATTGAGGAGTTATGGGACGAGTTAACTAGTGCCACCATCTTCTCTAAGTTGGACCTTAAATTTGGCTACCACCATATTAGAATGAAGGAAGGAGACACTGAGAAAACAGCTTCTAGGACTCATGAAGGTCACTATGAGTTCCTTGTCATGCCTTAAGAGCGTACAAATGCTCCAGCTACTTTTCAATCCTTAATGAATGATTTTCTAAGGCCTTTACTACGAAAATTTGTCCCAGTATTCTTTGACGACATTTTGGTCTACAATTCGTCATTGGAGCTGCACCTTCAGCATTTATCCTAAGTTTTACATCACCTATGTGAGCATCACTTATAGGTCAACAAAAAGAAGTGCAGGGGTGTCAGTTGACCCTAAGAAGATAGAAGCCATGTGAAAGTGGCCAACTGCAAAAGATGTCACTGCCTTACATGAATTTTTAGGCCTCACAGGTTATTACAAGAGGTTTGTGCAAGATTATGGAAAAATTGCCAAACCTTTGACGCAATGATAGAGGATTAAAAGTATATGTAAGAAAGAATAAAGGCGGGAAGCAGAGAGTTCAGTTAGCAGTTAGTTAGAGGTATAGGGGAGTATAAATAAAGAGTTAGTTGTAAAGGGCGGGATTCATTCTTAATTCTTTGTTTGTTGAGTTTACTGGAACTTAGTCCAGTAGAGGGAGGTTTGGCTTCCTTGAGTGTTTTCGATACAATTCTATTCTTCAATTCATTGAATAAGACGAGGCTATTCATTATGTTTGAGTTTGTTCTGTGTGAATCATACGTGTTATTGACTTCTTGATTAAAGAAGTCCATCACACAACTATTGGGGAAGGATGCATTGCAATGGACTGAGGAGGCTCGACAAGCTTTTACTATCTTAAAGGACGTAGTGTCACGTTTACCAACCTTGGCTATTGCAGATTTTTCCATGCCCTTTGTGGTTGAGAAGGATGCCTCAAGCAAGGGATTGGGTGTTGTTCTCCTTCAAGATGGTAGGCCCTTAGCCTTTTGGAGTCAAGCTTTGTCAAAACGAGCCCAAAACAAATTAGTTTATGAAAGGGAATTGATGTTCGTTGGGTGGGCATTGCATGAATGGAAGCATAATTTGTTGGGGGCACATTTCATGATTGTAACAGATCAAAAAAGTTTGAAATTTTTGATTGAGCATAAACTTTTGACAGAAGAGCAATTCAAATGGGCATCTAAATTGATTGGATTTGATTTTGAAATCTGATATAGACCTAGCAAAGAAGAACATTGTGGTTGATGCATCATCCGGATCTGTGCTTATTTTAGCAGCATCTCTATTTTGAAGCCCCAAGAATGAGAAGGTTGGGAAGAAGAGATGAGAAAAGATATCGAATTGAGTGGTATCACGACACATTTGTTGGTAGATCCTACTGCCCATCCTCTTTGATATTAGAAAAGGAAGACTGTACTACCAAGATAAATTAGTATTGTCAAGTAATTCTTCCAGAATTCCTACAATTATTAAGGAGTTGCATAAAACACCTATGGAAGGACATAGTAACTATTTTCATACTATTAAGTGAGTCGACGGGTGTTCTATACTGGGAGGGCATGAGGAAAGACATCAAAACTTTTGTTATGCAGTGTGAAGTCTGTCAGAGAAATAAAACAGAGACCTTGGCCCCTGCTGGGTTATTGCAACCCCTACCAATTCCAACACAGGTCACTCACACACTCGCACAGATAAGGAACACTGAAACACTGGAAATTTACTGAATATACTGCTGTTATTGAATAGAAAATACTGCACCAAAGATAACAACCAATAACCGGGAGCAGGATCTCCGTCAATTACCTGAGAGCATAACCTCTCTTACAAATCTCACACATAAAACATATCTTTAACCCTAGACTCTAACTTTATTTATACTAATCACTCTCTCCCGAAAAGGTAAAGAATCATAGTAATTATGCCTATTTATTAAGATTATCGGGTAAGAATATCTTCACCCTTATTTACTATATTTAATTTATATTTAATAATATCCTGATATAAGCCCTTAAATTCTAATAAATTTCCCGCCCATCCTAATTGCTGTGTCAGTGGGGAGGAGCATCCTAACTGACACAGCAGTTAGGATGGGCGGGAAATTTATTAGAATTTAAGGTCGTATCTCAGGATATTATTAAATATAAATTAAATATAGTAAATAAGGGTGAAGATATTCTTACCCAATAATCTTAATAAATAGGCATAATTACTATGATTCTTTACCTTTTCGTGAGAGAGTGATTAGTATAAATAAAGTTAGAGTCTAGGGTTAAAGATATGTTTTATGTGTGAGATTTGTAAGAGAGGTTATGCTCTCAGGTAACTGACGGAGATCCTGCTCCCAGTTATTGGTTGTTATCTTTGGTGCAGTATTTTCTATTCAATAACAGCTGTATATTCAGTAAATTTCCAGTGTTCCTTATCTGTGCGAGTGTGTGAGTCAGCCTACTGGTTACGACCCAAACTCAGGTATGTAACAGGTCTAGTTAGACATCTCAATGGATTTTATTGGAGGTCTTTTTTGAGGTGGTGGACAGACTCACGAAGTACCCTCATTTTTTTTGCTTTATCTCATCCTTATTCAACAATGGAGGTGGCTCAACTTTTTGTAAAGGAAGTTGTCAGATGGATTTCCTTCATCCATTGCTTCAGATAGAGACAGGGTTTTTCTGAGCCAATTTTGGAAGCAGATTTTCAAACAAGCAGGCACTAAACTGAAGTACAGCATGGCTTATCACTCACAATCAAATGGCCAAACGGAGGCTATGAATCGTTGTCTCAGAACCTATTTAAGGTGCATGATAGACACTCAACTAAAACAGTGGCCCACTTGGCTACCTTGGGCTAAGTTTTGATTCAACACCAACTACAGCGCCAGTTCCCATATGACACCATTCAAGGCTTTATATGGATGTGATCCTCCTCTCATTTTGAAAGGCACAACAACCCATCCAAGGTGGAAAGTGTTAATCAAATGCAGGCAGCAAGGGATGACATATTGAAAAAGTTGAAAGAGAATGCACAAAGCCCAAGAGATAAATAAGCTTCAAGCTAACAAACATAGGAGGGTTTTCTTAAGGATTCAATATAGATTTAAATCCCTAGCACGAAAACCAAATGAAAAATTAAGTCCACGCTATTATGGACCTTATCAAGTAGTGGAACAAGTTGGGAAGGTTGCTTAGAAATTACTCCTACCAGAACACAATCGCATCCAGCCTATCTTTTACGTGTCTTTACTCAAACCAGCCATGAGTTCAGTGCCCTCCCCTTAACCTTTACCCCTATGCTATCTGAAAAATATATGTTGGAAGTTACTCCAGAAAAGTTGTTGGATAAGTAATGTTGGAAGTCCCACATCGACTAGAGATAAGGCCAATTTATAATATATAAGTAGGTGCAAACCTCACCTTACAAGCTAGACTTGTGGGGTTGAGTTAGGTTAAAGTTCACTTCTTAACATGGGATCAAAGTCAGGTTAGAACCTATTCTAGCTATATTTGTTGTTTGTTGGACATATTGTTCCACCCACTATCGGGTCATTATCGGACCACCCATTAATGTCTAGTCTCACGCTCGAGATGTATATACCTCGACGTGAGGGAAGTGTGTTGGAAGTCTCGCATCGACTATTGATAAGACCAATTTATAATATATAAGTGGGTGCAAACCTCACCTTACAAACCGGTTTTGTGAGATTGAGTTAGATTTAAAGTCTACGTCATAACAAGTAAAAATGGAGCTGGTGAAATGGAAGTCTTACCAAAATGGCAACAACTTCTCAAGAGTGAAAATAGCTGGGAATCTGTAGAAGTCATCACCATAGAATTTCTAGACTTTCACCTTGAGAAAAAGGTGAAACTTCAAGGGCAGGATATTGATAGGTTCAATGGCGAATTCTATACTAGGAGAAATAAATAAAGGAGGCGGTTATAACCTCCTACAGTGAGTTAATATTATATCGGTGTGTTGCCGAGCTGTGTTAACAAGCTGATTAGAAGCAGAAAGCATAACCTCCTACGGTTGTAACCTTGTAAAACAAACTATTATAAGTAGTATGTGTGTTGTTGTTAGTTTCATTTTGTTGGAGTTTAAGAGAAAAACGGGTGGGAGAGTTTAGGTCCTCTCAAAAGACCTGTCTGTTTGAAACAGCTGGTGTTGTATCCCTGTGACATCGACAGTATAAGAAAATCCTCAATAACATCATCCCAAGAACCTATCTTGGATCTTTCTGGAATTATGGGCGCTCTATCAATTTACCTTTATTTGTCCACTAACAAGAAGGAGCTTCATTTCAGTGTTTAAAATCTTGATATGGTCCAAGTGTCCTGAAATTCTGGATTGCTGGCATTCATCAATTATTATCGCTTTCCATGGAATGCATCTTAGTTCATGTAAGTCCTGTATATCAAATTCAAAAATAATGAGCACAAAAAGAAAATTAGTAGTTTTTACTTTCAAACTTCTTATAGAATTCAAAATTGTTTCTGAAGTCACTTATCAGATGAAACTTCAGATATAAGAAAATACCTCAACAACAATATCAGAAGATGACAACAGTATTTGAAATAATATACCATTTTCTTCACTGTAAAACTCTAATGCCCTGATGCCACTCCGTACATCTCTATTTCCCTTGTAAACTACGAGATTGGCAGATGGTGCCAAATGTAAGAACTCTGCTTCCCATACAGAGAGGGCAGTAGAAGTTGAGATGATGAGAAAAGGCCTCTTGCTATTGCAATTCAAAGATAATACAAACAAAATCACTTTTATAATGCGCTCCTGCAAATGTAGTTTAACAATGAAAATCAGGCATTCTAATAATATGCATAATAATGTTATTGCAACCTACACACTTCTTAGACATTTTGAAAACAAATGCAATATTATACTTATAAAAGGTCTTCTCATCAACATTGCAATTTTCTGTAACAATTTTCACCATAAGCATGCACCAAAGCAATAATAGCCATCATGTTTGGTTGATGAGTGAATATGAATTTTTTTTCCTCCCCTCTCCCTCTGGATTGTGCTTGTCCATTTTAATATCCTATATTTGTGCACATATCATACAGAATATCTTCAAACCCTAGGAAGCATACTAAATTGTATGCAAACTACAGATCACATGTCCTTATCTTCCACAGATGTTTGTTCCTTGTGTTTCCATTTTCTTGACAAAATCATTGTTTTCATCATTTCTTATACAAATATAAAACAGGGTAGCCTTTTTACAATTACTTGTGAAAATAGAAAACATTTTCTCAACTAAAACAGACCCTAAAAGACTGACTCACATAGCTTTTTGGATTCATGTTATTTAAATGAAGTACTACAAACACGATCAATTTCATTTAATAAAGATGAATTCGAACAGCTAAGACATGAAGTCACTATATAACAACAAAACTAGAGTATAAGGAGAAAAAATTGACCTGGTCAATTTGATCATCTACAATAAGAGCATTTTGGCCTTTGTACCAACACATGCGAAGCTTGTTCACATAACTCAAATATTGGTTATAAAGTCCTGGTGAATCTCCAAACGGCAACACTGACAATTCGACAATGAAAGTTTTTGTCTCCTGCAGTGTCAAACAAACTGCTCATTGTAGAAACATACTTTTAGCATAAATTTAGGACATGTTTCATAAAGGCAGTCAGTGGGATAATAAAAGTCGAGATTTTGATTTTTGAATCAGAAGTATCGTCTCCATCATAGGTTTAATTCTAATCATAAATTACTCGAATATCCAACTACATGTGTTTTCCAACTTGACTTGTGGTGATTTATCTGATGCGACAATCTCAAATAGCACCAGGAAGCAACAATCTCAAACAAGTGAAAATAACAATTTTACAATATAACACTTTACCATCCCTACCATTTGACTATGGACATACATAGCTGTCGTGTAAAATGATACAGAACCACCCCTTAAAAGCTTAGAAGAAAATGAAAGGAAGGAAATGAACACTGATGTATATTATTCTGATAACAAAAACAGGAAATAGAAGGATAACAAATCCCACCCAGAGCTACGCTCCTCTCTAGAGCAACATAAAACGGTTCCTCTCCACTCTTAACCAAAATCCCATCCTCCCCCACCGTTCAACAAAAACTGAATACAAATAGAATCTCTCTATTCCCTTCCTGATTTCTCTCTCCTCTAACTACCTGCCAACTCAGCCCTTGGATTCTTCTTTCTCACCTATACTTTTCCCCACCGTGTCTTGGTACCTTCGTGGGCTAGAGACTGAGGAAGCCCACTCATTTTCCAGGCCTCGTCAATACCCTCCACTTGAAGAATTGTCTTGTCCTCAAGACTCAGTTTTGGAAATTGACTTCTAATTGTGTTAGATATATTATATCTTTTAGTTAGTTAGTTATTATTTTCTCATTTGTATTTTGGGCTTAGCCCATATTTCTTTTATTATAAATAGATAACCCTATGTGTGTATTTAACACAAGGGGATATTCTCTCCCAATCTTCTCTATTTCTCATAAATTGAAACTTCATCTTCCCACGTAGCCTCCTCTGCCGTCTTCCCCTTCCAACAGATGAGCCATTGATTCATTTCTCCCTTCTTCATAACACTGTGGGAAGCTAGAACAGACATAGGTTCAATTATTTCAGCACACCCTCATCCTCTAAACCAGTGGGTAATTCTTCCAATGTCTTCTAGTTCTGCACCGCTTTCTTGAGAAGGGACACATGAAACACACGATGTATCCTTGAAGATGGAGGCAACTTTAAACAATAAGCAACCTCACCTATCCTTTCCAGAATTTCAAAAGGACCACAATACCTAGCACTCAATTTTGGGCATTCTCCTATATCAAAGTTGCTATCTGTTTGGTTTTTATCAGCTTGTGCCTTCATTCTGTCTTGAGCTCTCAACAAGTGATTCATTGGTTGCTTTAGAGCCTCATCTCAATCCACTAACTCCCTCTACACTGCTTCCACTCTTACTTCCCCCGGAACACTCTGCCCAATTAGGGGAGGCTTACGTCCGTCCGTACACCACTCCGAATGGGGTAGTACCTATTGAATCATGATATGTCGTGTTCAACCAATATTGTGCCCAAGGAAGCCATAAAGCCCACCCTTTTGGTTGGTCAGTTATGAAACAACGTAAGTATGTTTCCAGACATCAATTAATTACCTCAGTTTGGCCATTTGACCAGGGGTACTCATTGGCAATATCGTTCCTTGCATCCTGAAAAATTCTTTCCAAAACCCACTCATAAATATTGAATCCCTATCACTTACAATAGAATTTGGAAGGCCATGGAATCTCACCACCTCTCTTACAAAAATTTATGCTATCCCCCTATCTCTATAAGGGTGTTTTAGAGGCACAAAATGGTTGTACTTTGTTAATCTGTCCACAACTATCATAATGGCTTCAAACCCTCTTGACCTAGGTAAGTCAGTTATGAAATCAAACCTAATGTCCTCCCAAATTCTTTCTGGAATTGGAAGTGGATGCAACAATCCTCCGAGAGATGTCACCATATATTTTTGGCGTTGGCATGTGTCACAAGATCAAACAAACTTCAATACATCATGTTTCATTCCCCTCAAATATAAGTTGGCCACCACATGCCTATAGGTTCTATAAAACCCTAAGTACCCTGCTTGTGGGGTTGCATGGAACTCCTCTAATAACTTAGGAATCCATGAGGACTTTTAAGCAATAATAGCACTCCTTGCTTGCACGTAAATCCAAGATAACGCTTTTGTTCCCCTTTGTGACTCTCTGATTATTTTTTTCCATTTAATATCGTCATGCACCACAGCTATTAAAGCCTGATAATCCAACCAAACAGGAACATAAATCATACTATTCAATTCCCATCCTTCTTTTCTCCTCGAGAAAGCATATGCACCTTTGTTCTCTGGTCCTGGTTCATAAATAATCTCAAAATTGTACCTTAATATATTAGCCACCCAATTTTATTGATCCCCAATAGTTATCCTTTGCTATAAAATAGTTGCTTCAAGCTTTTTTGATCGAAAAATACCTTAAATGTCCTCCTAACAAGTAAGGCCTCCAATGTTGGATAGCTAGAGCCACTTCCATTAATTCCTTCTCATATGCAGACTTAGATAAGTTTCTTGACCCCAAGACTTTGCTATAGTAAGCCACTGGTTGGCAATTTTACATTAGAATGGCTCCGATTCCAGTCTAGGAACCCACACGCTCCTTTCTCAAAATCTGGTAGCCTTAATATCAATGCAACTATAATTTTTTTTCTTCTACTCTTCAAATGCTCTTTAGGCACTTCCAATCCACAAGAAACCATCTTTCTTTGTTAATTCCGTGAGGGGCTTTGCAATAATCTTTGATAAACTTTCAATAGTACCCTGTGAGGCCTAAGAACCCACACGCTCCTTTCACATTTTTTGGTACAGGCCAATCAAGCACACTACTAATTTTGGATAGATCGACTTATACCCCTTCAATTGAAATCAAATGCCCAAGATATTCAACACTATCCAATCCAAACTTTCATTTCTCTTTATTAGCAAATAATTGATGTTGCCTCAGTATTCCCAAAACAGTAGTCAAATGTTGCCTATATTCCTCCCATCCCTTGCTATATGAGTACGTCATCAAACAATACCAATACTTTGTTTCACAAAAAAGATCTAAACACTTCATTCAATAGGGATTGAAAGTAGAAGGAGCATTCATTAGCCCAATGGGCAATACGAGATATTCATAATGTCCTTCATTGGTTCTAAGTGCAATTTTGGGAATATCATCAACTTTCATACACACCTGGTGATACCCAAGTTTCAAATTCAGCTTAGAGAAGTGCTTTGCCCTATGTAGCTCATCCAATAATTCTTCAATAACTGGTATAGGAAATTTATCAAGGATTGTAGCTTTATTCAAGGCTTTGTAATCCACACACATTCTCCATTAGTTGTTCTTCTTCTTCATCAATATCACCAAGATTGAATATGCACTCTGACTGTACAGAATGTTCCCATTCTCCATCAACTCACGAACCTGCCTTTCAATCTCATTTTTGTGATGATAAGGGTTGGAAATCCCACATCGATTAGAGATAAGGTCAATTTATGGAATATAAGTGGATGCAAACCTCATCTTACAAGCTAGTTTTGTAAGGTTGAGTTAGGCTTAAAGTCCACTTCTTAACATGGTATCAGAGCCAAGTTAGAGTCTATCCTAGCAAGATTTGTGTTGTTGGACATATTCCACCCGTTATCGGATCGCTATCAGACCACCCATTAATGTCTAGTCCCACACTCGAGATATATATACCTCACCATGAAGGGAGTGTATTGGAAGTCTCGACCAAAGATAAGACCAATTTATGGTATATAAGTGAGTGTAAAAAACCTCATCTTACAAGCCGGTTTTGTAAGGTTGAGTTAGGCTTAAAGTTCACTTCTTAACAATAAAGTCTTACATTAATCGGTTCTTGATTGACACCCTCATAACACTTCAAAACTTTCGCTAATGCCTTCAGTTAGTTTCCTGTAAGTTCCCTCTTTGTTGAACCTTAATTCTCTCTCGACATACCGCAAAGAGACGCAAGTAATAGTTCTCCTCGAGGTACTGCTTTTAACACTTTGGTTCCTTGAGATGTTTCTATCTTCATGGTTCTTTTTTTTCCAATCAACAACCATTTCGCCCAAAGAAACAAACCATGACATGCCCAAAATCATATTAATGTGCTCTAAGTCAAACAAATAGGCATCTACCATAAAATCCCAACCTTCTATTTCAATTTTAATTTTGCAACACACTACCAACGTTTTTGACTTGTGCCCATCTCACATCAATATTTGAATACTCTTAGTGGTCTCCCACTACCAACCGATTGCCTTGACCAATCTTCTTGAAATAAAGTTATGTGGAGCTCCACTGTCAACCAAAATAAACAAAGGCAATTCATGTACCCTTCCTTCAAATTAAGAGTTTGAGGTGATTTTGTTTTCTTAGCTCCTAGGCTAAGTAAACTCACCATCGATGTCTCCATCTTCAACCACACCTAACACATTTTCTCCATCATCGCATTCCATTTGGATTTCATCACCCACTAATATGACTTGTAGTTGTTTAACGGGGCATTGGTGCATAGGGTTGTAAGGTCTACCCCATTTAAAACACAATCATCTCTTTCGCCTATCCAACAAGTCCTGATAGGCTGGGTGCTTTGTTCCTCTATCCATAGGCCCACTTCTATTATTTTCCCATAGTTCTTTTGTTGTGCTTAGGCCAGGCCCATTAACCCCTCCACCAGTCCCCTAGGTTTTGGGAATGATGCACCCTGAAATATTTGAACCAGCCTTGTAACTCGAATAGCCTCCCGTATGTGTTTCATCTTTCACATGCCATACTTTGTTCTTATTCGAAAACTCCATATCAATGGCTCTTGCTACATTCATCATTCTTGCTCTCCTAAGTTGACTTACAACATGCAAACTTCTTATTAGGGCCCTAATTTCCTCATGCAAATTGTGAATAAAGTAAGCAAAGTATTGTTCATCATGTAATTTGGGCGCTTGAGCCACTAAACATTCAAATCTTGTGTATGTGCTCTTCTATACTCCCTATTTGCCACAGTGACGTCAACTGCTCAAATACACTTCCCTCACCCAAACCTCCATATCTTTCAATCAATTCTTTCTTCAAATCCTCCCAAGTTAAATCATCATAATCATTTAATAATGTGTTGAAGAAATGAATCGTGGCCCCCTCCATTCACAATTGAGCAAGATTCACCCTCACTGCCTAACTGGTTTCTTGAAACCTAAAATAGATTTCAGCTCTAGTGATCCAATCGACAAGATCTTCTCCATTGAACCTAGGTAGGTAGTTCAATCTTTTCATTGATTGTCTAAATTCATCCAACGCCTCTCCTTCTAAGGACTTCAAGTCACTTCCACCACTAGATGACTCCTTCTTAGGCCTAACAGAGTTCTCTCCCTCCACATGAGGCATTTTCTACCAGCTACAAGTCATCAATTCCACTAACTTCAATTGGTTTATTGCAACCTCTTTACGCATTGTCTCTATCGTTGATTGGTTTTGAATTGCTTTGAATCGTATCTCCTCCATGACAGCTCTCATTCATTCCAATTCTCCCTCAACAAGCTCAACCCTAGCATCCATGGCTACTGTATTTTTCGGTTCCCCTGTTTTCACCTTTCCTTTTTCTTTGGTGGCATTCACTGGCAAAATGTGATCTAACAGGTTGGACCAAATGATACATAACCACACCTTAAAAGCTTAGAAGAAAAAGAAAGGAAGGAAATGAACACTAATGTATGTATTATTCTGTTAACAAAAACAGGAAATAAAAGGATAACAAATCCCACCCAGAGCTACGCTCCTCTCTAGAGCAACACAAAAACGGTTCCTCTCCTCCCTCAACCAAAATCCCATCCTCCCCAACATTCAGCAAAAACTGAATACAAATAAAATCTCTTTATTCCCCTCCTGATTTCTCTATCCTCTAACTACCTGCCAACTCAGCCCTTGGATTCTTTGTTCTGACGTATACTTTTTCCCATCGTGTCTTGGTACCTTCATGGGCTACAGACTGAGGAAGCCCACTCATTGTCTAGGCCTCATCATAAAACAACCATTGTTTTTTTTTTCATTCACATGGTAACCAATCAACTTTTTAAATAGTCCTAATAACTTCAGTTGAACAATGCAACAGAAATTTTCATAACATAAAACATTACTCCAAGCTGATGATAATTCCACATTTTGCAGGTTACAAAACTATGCTATCCCATTCAATTTTACCTACAAGCACATTTATAGAGAATTAAAAAACCAGTTCAGATTAAAATAAGTTATATTAGGAAGTAAAAGACATTATGCTTCCCGACACTAATATCATTCTTCAGACTTTTCAGGAGTGTAAAAAATGCAGCTTGTTGTAATTAGAAGAAAATCTTCCTAATTAGAGAAAAATTTTCAGTATATTTTTTCCTTATTTCCTTTTTCTGGAAGATTAGATTGTTACAAATAAGAATGTAATAGACATGGCTGTTAATAATAAAAATCATTCTCTTTTTAATATGGTGTCCGAGTCATTATTGAGACCTTTCCTAGTAAAATTTGATGTTGGTTGGACATATTCCTAATAGTGTATTAGAAATCTTACATATACTAGAGATAAAGTCAATTTATAATATAGTATATAAATAGGTGCAAACCTTACCTTACAAGCCAGTTTTACGGAGTTAAGTTAGACTTAAAATCCACTTCTTACCCAGCTAGTTAAAACTTCACATTAAAAACTTGACTCTCAAAGCTAGTAAAAAATGGCACTGTAATAAATACCATAAATTAAATTTTGTACTGGTTTTTTAATTCTCTATAAATGAGCTTGTAGGTAAAATTAAATGGGATAGCATAATTTTGTAACCTGCAAAATAAGTTATATCAGAAAGTAAAAGACATTATGCTTCCCGACACTAACATCGTTCTTCAGACTTTTCAGAAGTGTAAGAAGTGCAGCTAGTTAAAAACTTCATATTAAAAACTTAACTGTCAAATGTAGTAAAAAATGGCACTGTAATATATACCATAAAATTAAATTTTGTATATCATTTTAAACTAAAAGAAGCACCTCATTGTCTTCAAAATGCCTTTTTGACAGTTTATCAACTCCCTTTCGACGACTTTCATAATCACGAATGAGTTTCCTGCCTTTCGCTGATGTCAAAAACGAAGCATCTTGTAACTCCCATGTGGCATTATCATAACCAAGACCGGTCCATTTGACAAGCCACTCATAACAGCAAATTGAATCATTGTCACCATGCCCACCAAAATTCACAATTTCTCTTTTAAGGAGTAAGCGGTGAGGTATACTCCAATCTCTTTTCCACCAGCTAACCTGATAACTCGGCAACCAAAGAAGAAATTATTTTCATGGATAATTCCAAAGGGAGTGCAGAATAACAAAACAAAGAACCATTGGTGGTCCAAAGAATGTGAAAGGGTAACTGAACCTGCGGTTTACTTTTAAACTTGGCCAAGAGCTTAGGAGCCTCAAGAAGCATTGTTGATTCTGTAATCCAGCGGTTGTGAGCATGAGCAAGACCTTGATATTTGACAAAGTACTCCCTTTGCATCACTAGCAACATGCTACTTACTATCAAACATCATGTCATGCATTATCTAATATACATCCATGAATAAGAAATCTAGATGAAGTACAAAGAGTAAACTCCCATTGTAGTCCCTGATATTGTAGTGTCCATTACATTGGTCCCTGACTTTCTCAAACATCATTCAGTTAGTCTTTTATCTTGCAAATAGAAAGTGTGAAAAGGATTGAAGTAATTTACTTTTTGTAAATCTAGCAGTAAGAGTGAGTATTCTTTGAAGTTAATGATTAAATTGACCAATGCTTTCAATCTCAAAGACTAAAATGGGAGGTCTACCTGTGACCAAACAGGGGAATTTTATAGACCATACCTTTATTATTTGAAACCACTTCTCTAGAATCCAAGATGGATTTCACTCCTTCAGAAACAGAATGCACGCCAAACTCTATTTTTTTCTTAGTGCACCAGATACAATGCCAAAACCTCAAAGGAATGCACTTCAGAGGAGGATCCACACAAGAGGGGTGGTACCTCTTCTGGCATCCTTTTCCAGAGCAACATCTAAAATATCGTTCCACATTGATAAACAAAAGCGATTGATAACAAAAAAATGTATTAATTTACAGTGCTTAAGTCCATCTTAAACAAATACATATACACAAAAAAAATTTACTTGCTACATAGACAAGTGGAAGTATAAAAGCAATTATTTCAGGAGATGCTCGTTGTGTTGTGGTACTGATATCCTTAGAGGATAAATACATATTTAGTCTTAGTAAAGTTAGTCAACATGTCAAAGAGGTGGCAACGTGTGACATGGGTGACACATGATATCTACATGACTACCATGTACCAAATGTTATTCTATTATCCAAGGAAAATTTTCAATTTTTATTTCAGCCCCCAAAAAACTTCAAATTTTCCTTTTAGTCCCCATTCAAGAAATAAAGAACAGCAGAAGTTACAGAGGAAAAAGCAGGAAATGAGTTTCCACATAGCAAAACACTTGTGACGGCAGAAGAGAGAACAATAGAGATATAAAAAGGTGAAAACAGCCTAATCTACATTTAAAGGTGAAATATGGAAACTCACAAAAGTACTCCACCACCGAAGCAATTGGAACATACAACTTCCTTGCCACCTTTTTTATTTTTCATATGAAGATTTGCTTGAGCATTATTTTGATACTCTTTAGCCAATCCCGCAATGCACCCAGAACGGACATCCCCTCCATCCTAGCAAGATGTATGAGTCAAATCAATACAACCACTAACAAGTAATTATGTATGTCAAGACAGACTGCTATTATTGATCCAATTAAAGCCATTATATATATGTTTTGAATATAAGAAGTTAGTTAAAATAGATGGAATAGTGATGAGTTAGTTAGTTGAGGTTTTTGTCATATATATATATATATATATATATATATATATATATAGAGAGAGAGAGAGAGAGAGAGAGAGAGAGAAGGGGAATTGTTAGCAATCAAGAACTGAAATGAGAAAGAGAAAGACTTTTTATTGAATAAGATGAAGAGAACAAGAAATAGAGAGCACTTCCTCCATATGAGGTAATGGTTTCATTACAATTTTGTCTTGAAAAGGCATCTTGGAAGGTATTTATGAACTACCTTTGGCCTCTACAACAACGTAATGTGTGTCAGGTTTCACCTTGAAACTGTCGTAACAATCAAAGAAAAGATGATTTACCAAGATGGATGAATTATAGGCTCTCATACCATGTCAAATCTCCTCTTATAATCAATTGCAATTAAGTTAAATTACCCAATAGATATATAAGTTAAACTCCAGGAATTGAGGCACCCGAAATGGGACTTTTAAGTATAGCAGAACAGTCCCCACGATCAAGGTTAAAGGACAACAGTGGTACTGATTGTCCTTCTAGCATCAATGTTTTGACCTCAAACCCGTAGACATCATTGGGGTCATCCAAAATAATATACCCTTTGGTGTTCAATGGCTCCATAACAAGTCCTGAAAAATCACTTCAATGGGTTAAGGGAGCATGGCATTTTTGTTATGTCCTTAATCTTGACTCTAAACAAATGTGAAACTCTCGGTTATAACAGAGCAGATTTCTCCTTCAACAAAGAGTTAATGTTCAATCAACAAATGAACCTATCAACCTCTCTCCTATTCATCTACCCTATATTTATATTTAACTACCACTTAACCAACAAACTCATTAATATTCTAAATATCTTAATTAACTTTTTCCTTATACCATAACAGTCCACTCTTGTAAAAATCAACCTTGTGGTCGATTGTGGAAGCTAGATTTTGCAGCTCAGCTTCATCACCTTGATCTTCATTTGACCTCCTAAAAGTATTTTTATGCTTTCATACCATAGTAATGGGAACCCAACAGCCATTCCATGCAAGCAAAAGTCCAAAAGCTAAGGTGGTGATAAGGATGAGGATGGGTCCTGTATAACATGAATTACTTTGACTGCCTTTGAACCTTCATTTTTCCTTAACTCCATTGTCAACCTATCATCCACAGACGCATCGAAGTTTAATGCTAAAGGTTCACCCAGCAAGCAAAAATTTCAAGATTCTAACAGCATTTATGTTCACCTTCACGATTGAATCTAGGTTCAACAAGTAACAATACTTGTATGGAAATCTGAATTTTGAACACAATATGCTTGTTTGCATCTATCCCTTTAACTTCTTTCACGATCAACTCTACTGTTGGGTTACCAAGAAAATGGTCTTCTTAGCCCAAAATCTTCACTTTATTTTCCTGACGTTTCTGCCTCCTAATTGATGCATCAACTTTGTCCTCCATCATAATCTTTGTTTCTCTTGACAAATTTACTTCATCAATTTTGATTTCCTCTTTTCCTTGCTAATTTTGTTTCATCAACTTTGGTTTCTTCTCTCCCATGAAGGATGTGATTCTTGAACATTGAACAACTCTACAATTTCAAGAATTTGTAATCCATCAAAGGTGGATTGCATGTCCAAGAACTAGCTGCTACTTCAATGCATTCTAACCCAGTTCATGCTATATTTGTCTTGTTCAGTCATATGAGGATCCCGCTCTTCATTCAATATCTTTTGTTGCATGTGGTTTAGCTTTAAATTGTTGGTCGTCTCTTTCGATTATTGGAGTCTCCTTTTCTTTGATGCAAGCTTTGTCAGATTTCATCTTCAAATCAATTGACATTAAGTGGAGTTACCCAACAGATACATAAGATGCACCCTAAGAATTGAGACAAGCAACGTGGGACTTTCCAGCACCCGCTCCACATATGCTTGTCAAACCAAATGAGCCTTACCAAAATAGACAATTACTAAAATGTGATACATTCTCTAATATCATGTTGAATTTCATTTTAAAACCAAATGGGCATTAAGCTAAGTTGCACTCCAAGAAATACGGCACAAGATGTTAGACTTCCCAATGATTCTCATCAAAGTGTTGTCTTGGTTCAAGAAAGATATGGCTACCATAGCTATCTTTGAATCATTTTATCAAATTTGTGTAAAAGGATTCTCACTCTAAATTTGGATTCCCTTGGCACCAATAATAAAACCAAAGCATTGTCCCACCATCCACGCTCATCAATGCATATTTCAACTTATGGATTGAAGGAATTTCTTGTCCCTCAGAATTTTTCAGCCGTGCAAATCCTCCCAATTGGGTCTACCCCACAATGATGACAACTTCACCTTGGCCCAAATTTGTGCTTCCTCCTTCCTCCTTCCTCCATCTTTGACATTGTCTATCCCTCCAGATCCGAAAAGTTAATCTAGTTGTTAGAAACCAAGAATTGAAATAAGAGAGAAAATAAAGATTTCTATTGACTGGGATGAAAAGATTGAGAAACAAGAGAATACTCTCTTCTACCAAGGTTTCCCCTTCATAGAGGATATCTTCTTTCACAAATAACTAAATGTCAGTATATCAATACTCATATCTCCCTTTCTGGTATCCTTCTTCACTTGTATATACCAAATTAACACCTCAACCAACAAACTCATTAATAGTCTAACTATCTTAACTAAACAATATCTTGCCAAGATACTTTTCATAAGCATATATCTAGAGTGTTTGTATTTTGCTGCTTAACTTTATACATTTGAACCATACTCCCAAATTTTGTCACTATTGTAAAATTGTCTTTTACCAGCTAACTGCTTTCCTACATTTCATTTCATTTTAGCTCTTTGTACTTCACATTTTATTCAATAGGCCATTTCACTTCACTCCATTACATGATAATTACTATTATTGTTTATTTATTTAAAATAAGGGTTAAATATGTTTTTAGTTCCTAAACTTTGACATGAAATTAAAATTCATTGTTATCCCAAACCTTAGTACTTGGTCTTCAATCCTAAAAATGAATAGATATAATCCTTATAATCCAACTGAAATAAATCTTTTGAAAGTGTCAAAGGACGTTTTAAATTGATCGTTTGTGTTGTTTATAATGCCTAACACATTCCAACCTAAATGTTAGTCTAAAACACTGATAAAACGAGAATTAATGTGCTTGAGTTTCTATTCACTTTTCAAATTTAGCAAATAAGATGGATCACGTTTAAAATATAAATAAATTCTAATTTTTCATTCAAGGAACTAAAAACATATTTAACCCTTAAAATAAATTATCTAAGACACGTCACTTTCCCATGAAAATAAAGTAGTCTACAAAATGCCAAATGAATTCCAAAACCTACTTCATCCATAACAAGAGTGTGATCGCTCATGTCAAAGACAGCAGTCCGGTTCTCTGGAGAAGTATCTGTCACGGACTACCTGAAACATTAAAGGAGAAGAATTGGTAAAGTCTATTCTAAAGGGTCGTATAATATGCATAACCTCTAAAAAAATAATCCGGAACCCAAACTAGGTTCTTCTAACTTAATTTATTTACAGATAAAGTACCATCTTTTAAAACAAAGAGCACCACGAGACCTACCTTATAAAAATTCATTTTTTTAACTTAGTAAGACGACGAAAACAGCTCATAAGCAAGAAAATAAAATCGGAAGTTCAAAATAGTTTGTAGTACAAGTTTTCTTACATGAGTTTGTTACCTCTTAGGTCACAGTGATTTCAGGTGAACAAAACAGAACAATCCCCCGAAACCCTACATGTGTAATAACCCTCACGTTACTGTGATCACAAGCACCTTTTGGTATATACTACGAGCCTGTTCAGAGTAAACAAATAAACTGCAAAATAAAGTAATTAATCAACTACAGCTATTCCACCTTAAACTGCAAAAATGTGAGAAATGAAAATGCGGCATTCACCAATGTTTAGCTAACTACTGTTAAAGAGTGATTTTTATCAACATCAACGAAGTAGAAAAACCCTGCGCATTTACTGTATAGAGTTAAAAAGAAAATAACAAAAATGCATGCGGAGGAATAACGGCGAGGAAGAAGAACATGGCCCTTTGCCATGCTTCACATGTGTTTTCTCTCACCGTGAAATCACACGCAAACCCTGGATGTTAATCACGGTGAAGAAGTCGATGCAGAAGTGACAGAAGGAATTGAAATCAAATTTAAAAATGAGGTATTTTTATTTATTATATAATAATTTATATTAAAATATATCTACATTTTATTTACAAGGCTTAATTACCTACTTAGTCCCCATGTTAAGAGGTAAATTAATGTTTAGTACCCGGTTTTAAAAGTGTAGACATTAGGTCCCAAAGTTGTGAAAATTGTATCAGTATCAATTGAGTCCCTTCCGTTAAGTGGATAATAACGAAGTTAACTTTCGTCTCACGTGGCAAAGGAATCTGCGTTTTTTATTCTCTCTCTTCTGCCTTTTCCTGAAATCTCTCCAACTTTTTCTCTCTTTTCCTTTACCTTTGACCCAATGCGTTTTTTATTCTCTCTCTTTTTAACTAACGTTCTCATATTTCACAGCCTTCGATGTGGATCTGGATGAAATCCCAGCCTAGCAGCAAGCTCTTGAGCACGCCTAACATAATACAATTAAACTGCAAAAGGGTGAAATATCATGTGAGTTTTTCTATTGTGGCGACGACTACTTTCCACGTATACTATATACCACATACAATGACACAGCCGCATAGCTTTTGTAGGATTTGTCCGCTTACCAGAGACTTAAAATAAATTGCCTAATAATTATATTCTCATTATTGATGAATATCGTTTAATAGATTTAATAAACTTGTTATTCAATCCATAAAAGATTAAGTTGGAGTTTAGATAGATTTAACTTGACTGAAAAAAACTCAATTCAATATACTTAGATTAGATTAAATCGTGGAGTTTTTTTAATATTTACTATAAATACTTTACGTTTTCAAAAATAATAATAATAATAATTTAAACGTTTCCTTTTAACGACACGCTGTATTTTAATAATTAATGTGTCAATTTATTTAAATGATAAAAAAGTTAAAAAAATTATAAAATTATATTTATATAATTTTTTTATCTGTAGTTAATTATGTTTTTACAGTAAATTATTACTTTCATATTTATAATTAAAAATAATAAAATATTTTTTTGTAAGGAATATTATTTTATAGAAGATACAAATTCAATGGAAATTTTAATATCAAGTAGATTTCTTCTATTAAAGAAAATGACGATATACATCATAAAAATATAGTTACAATAAAAATGCACTTACGCATTTCGATTTCAGCAAATAGAAAAGCATATGATCCTTATGACACGGCTTTGCAATTTATTATAAACTGCCTATGGAAATAACAAAAATTTTAAATACAGACAGCTCAAAATATATTTTTATTAAAAATATCTCTTAAAAATAATTAAAAAAAAGTCCTTTTACAAAAGATAAAAATAAGCTTAGTAAAAAATAAGTATACTTTAGTTTGTTTTGGATGCTTTTTTATTATTGCTTTCTGTAACATCCCAAAATACAGTAATCACTATAATTCAGAATTAATTACAATTAACAGTAATCACAAACAGTCTTTGCATTAAAACAGGATTAAAAGCCTAACGGCATCAGTACAGAGGACGCGTATAAACGCATACAATGAAACCAAGAGTGAACGCTCTTAAATACATAAACTAACGAGCACCAAAATACATCAGAGATGAATAAGGCGAACGGCCTTACAAAATAGGTGGCCGAACGTTATAACTATGCTAACATATACAGCCTAACTACAACGAGCACTCTAAGGCTCGGCCTTTACTTCAACTTCAACCAGATTGGAGTCGTCCAAATTTTCTTCTTCCAGCATTGCTTCAAGGGATGCACCACCATCTGCTCACATCCACAACGGATGATCATTGCATTTGACAAGACGGAGTATACATGTACAACCAAATGTTGTCTAAAACACTGATAAAACGAGAATTAATGTGCTTGAGTTTCTATTCACTTTTCAAATTTAGCAAATAAGATGGATCACGTTTAAAATATAAATAAATTCTAATTTTTCATTCAAGGAACTAAAAACATATTTAACCCTTAAAATAAATTATCTAAGACACGTCACTTTCCCATGAAAATAAAGTAGTCTACAAAATGCCAAATGAATTCCAAAACCTACTTCATCCATAACAAGAGTGTGATCGCTCATGTCAAAGACAGCAGTCCGGTTCTCTGGAGAAGTATCTGTCACGGACTACCTGAAACATTAAAGGAGAAGAATTGGTAAAGTCTATTCTAAAGGGTCGTATAATATGCATAACCTCTAAAAAAATAATCCGGAACCCAAACTAGGTTCTTCTAACTTAATTTATTTACAGATAAAGTACCATCTTTTAAAACAAAGAGCACCACGAGACCTACCTTATAAAAATTCATTTTTTTAACTTAGTAAGACGACGAAAACAGCTCATAAGCAAGAAAATAAAATCGGAAGTTCAAAATAGTTTGTAGTACAAGTTTTCTTACATGAGTTTGTTACCTCTTAGGTCACAGTGATTTCAGGTGAACAAAACAGAACAATCCCCCGAAACCCTACATGTGTAATAACCCTCACGTTACTGTGATCACAAGCACCTTTTGGTATATACTACGAGCCTGTTCAGAGTAAACAAATAAACTGCAAAATAAAGTAATTAATCAACTACAGCTATTCCACCTTAAACTGCAAAAATGTGAGAAATGAAAATGCGGCATTCACCAATGTTTAGCTAACTACTGTTAAAGAGTGATTTTTATCAACATCAACGAAGTAGAAAAACCCTGCGCATTTACTGTATAGAGTTAAAAAGAAAATAACAAAAATGCATGCGGAGGAATAACGGCGAGGAAGAAGAACATGGCCCTTTGCCATGCTTCACATGTGTTTTCTCTCACCGTGAAATCACACGCAAACCCTGGATGTTAATCACGGTGAAGAAGTCGATGCAGAAGTGACAGAAGGAATTGAAATCAAATTTAAAAATGAGGTATTTTTATTTATTATATAATAATTTATATTAAAATATATCTACATTTTATTTACAAGGCTTAATTACCTACTTAGTCCCCATGTTAAGAGTATTGCTGTTTAGTACCCGGTTTTAAAAGTGTAGACATTAGGTCCCAAAGTTGTGAAAATTGTATCAGTATCAATTGAGTCCCTTCCGTTAAGTGGATAATAACGAAGTTAACTTTCGTCTCACGTGGCAAAGGAATCTGCGTTTTTTATTCTCTCTCTTCTGCCTTTTCCTGAAATCTCTCCAACTTTTTCTCTCTTTTCCTTTACCTTTGACCCAATGCGTTTTTTATTCTCTCTCTTTTTAACTAACGTTCTCATATTTCACAGCCTTCGATGTGGATCTGGATGAAATCCCAGCCTAGCAGCAAGCTCTTGAGCACGCCTAACATAATACAATTAAACTGCAAAAGGGTGAAATATCATGTGAGTTTTTCTATTGTGGCGACGACTACTTTCCACGTATACTATATACCACATCACAATGACACAGCCTCAATAGCTTTTTGTAGGATTGTTCCCGCTTACCAGAGACTTAAAATAATTGCCTAATAATTATATTCTCATTATTGAGAATATCGTTTAATAGATTTAATAAACTTGTTATTCAATCCATAAAAGATTAAGTTGGAGTTTAGATAGATTTAACTTGACTGAAAAAAACTCAATTCAATATACTTAGATTAGATTAAATCGTGGAGTTTTTTTAATATTTACTATAAATACTTTACGTTTTCAAAAATAATAATAATAATAATTTAAACGTTTCCTTTTAACGACACGCTGTATTTTAATAATTAATGTGTCAATTTATTTAAATGATAAAAAAGTTAAAAAAATTATAAAATTATATATATATAATTTTTTTATCTGTAGTTAATTATGTTTTTTTACAGTAAATTATTACTTTCATATTTATAATTAAAAATAATAAAATATTTTTTTGTAAGGAATATTATTTATAGAAGATACAAATTCAATGGAATTTTAATATCAAGTAATTTCTTCTATTAAAGAAAATGACGATATACATCATAAAAATATAGTTACAATAAAAAAATGCACTTAACATTTCGATTTCAGCAAATAGAAAAGCATATGATCCTTATGACACGGCTTTGCAATTTATTATAAACTGCCCTATGGAAAGAACAAAATTTTAAATACATGACAGCGTCAAAATATATTTTTAGAAAAAAATATACTCTAAAAATTTAAAAAAATCCTTTTACAACAAGATAAAATAAGCCTAGTAAAAAAATAGTATACTTTAGTTGTTTGGATGCTTTTTTCATTATGTTTTCCATAAAAAACTTTCTATCATAGGCAACTATTAGTAATTTAAGACTTTGTATTTCCTTTAATTGCATTAAATATTTCATTTGTTTCTTGATGAACAATAATAAAGGGTCCAACCAAAAACCCTCTCCACTATAAATATTTATACAAGTATGCCCTTCTGTCCGAGAATTCCGGTGGCAGGCCGCCACCACCAACAGTGCCTCCTCTACATACCACACCACCTTGCTTGTGGTGACAAGAGCTTGCTGCTAGGTGAGATTCATCCAGTCCACAACGAAGCTGTGAAATATCAGAAAGTTAGTTAAAAGAGAGAGAGAATAAAACGCATTGGTCAAAGGTGAAGAAAAAGAGAGAAAAAAGTTGGAGAGATTTCAGAAGAAACGGCAGAAGAGATGAGATATACAAAGCAGATTCCTTTGCCACGTGAGACGAAGTTAACTCCGTTTATTATCCACTTAACGGAAGGACTCAATTGATACAATTTTCTCACAACTTTGGGACCTAATGTCTACACTTTTTAAAACCTGTCTAAACAGCAAATTCACCTTTTAACATGGGGACTAGTAGGTAATTAAGCCTATTTATTTATATTTTTATGTTTTAGGATGGAAATTATTTATAAATTTATTGTAATTAATCTTATTTAATATATTTTTTAATATATAATCAGATTAACATGTTTAATTTTACGCTGATTTTCAATAAAATTTTATTATTTTTAATTTT